AGGTTTAATTACAATTGTTGACAGGGAAATTATGGCCACACACGCAAAATTAGAATATAATTGTGTTAGGGAAATGTTTCATCTTCTCTTTGTCATCCCCGAGAGCGGAAGGCAGAGGGGGAGCAGAGGAAGAGGGCCGATGCTGGCAGGAGGCGCTGGCCCTGTGCCTCGCAATGGGGGTGAGCAGCCGGGCTCGGGGTGCCGCAGGGCGACAGAAGCCCAAGGGGCCATTGGGCACTGAGAAAATGCAGGAGAAAAGGCAAATGGCCTCCTTTTACAGAGCAGCAGCACACGAGGCAGCGCTCCCGTTCCTTCGGGATCAAGGGGAGCGGGCAGGGGGTTGCATCTCTGCCGTCCCGTTAGCCCAGGGCTCAGCCCCACACCAATTCCCAAAAGCAGCTGCATGCCGTGGCCAGCCCCATCCGTGCCCTGCGCCCCTTTCCACCCCGAGCCCAGGCAGCGTTTCACCCAGCCGGGCTCTTTGCCCAGGGCTGGCTGCCTGCGGGGAAGCGGCAGGGCCGAGGGCGATGCTCAGCCTGCTGTGCCGCACGCGGGATCGGTGTGGGATGTGCCCGGGGCAGCTGAATGCTCCCAGGGGAGCACGCTCCTCTCGGAGGGGCGCAGATGGCTGCGTACGAGCGTGGCGGCTGGCGGTTCCCCCTTCGGATGGCCACCACAACCGGCACCTCGCTGCCAGCCCAGATACATCCCCATCCTTGCCGAATCTCACCCCTGGGAAGATCCATCCCCAATGACAGAAGATGACTTTGGTCACCGACCCCGTTTAAATGCAGGCAATTCTTTCCGCTTTTAAAAAAAAGAGAAAAAAGCCAAATGGCCCAAAGGTCCAGGTGACAGCTGGCCCAGGACCCTGGCTGCAGGAGGGGGTCAGGCAAAATGAAAACGAAAGCTGCGTTGCTGACCGATGGCTTTGGGCAGGAGCAGCAGGCCTTCGCAGGGAGAGCGCCCGCTCCTCCTCGGTCCCTCCGTCGGATGCCGGCGTGGACTCGCTGAGACGAGGTAACGCCCTGCCCGCACCCACAGCAGCCACACGCTTCTGCGTTTGCTTTTCCACCTGCCTGAATTAATTGAACAGGGGGCAAAGCGCTGGCTCTCCGCCGCGCCGTGACCCGGAGCAGGGAAGGACGTCGGGCTGAGCAGAGCCCTGCTCCCCCTGACCTGGCTCCCTTCTCGCCAGGCGGCATTTTAAAAAGCCACCAAACAAGCGAGCGGCCCTCGTGGGGCAAACAGCTCCCGGGGTGCCAGGGAAGGAGCCCGCCGAGCGGCAGTCTCCCTCGCCCCCGGTGAACCGGGCGGACACACGGCACGTTAGGGAAGGTGCCGGGGCTGGCCCGTCGGCACCTTTGATACAAAGCACCCGCCGGTTGGCTTCTAAGCGCCGGCACCCAGCTGCAAAGCTAAACCAGGTGGGTAAACGGGCGGAAAGATGTAAAGATCTGGATATAAAATAGATGGACTTTACATCACAACGCCCACTGCGCTGCCGGGGTCCGGCTGAGGCTGCTGGCAGGCAGGAGTGCAGGCAGGAGTGCGGGCAGCGCAGGCAGGTGTCGCCGGCTGCAGGCCTGGCAGCGCAGACCCCGTGCTGGTGGGTCCGGCGGGCGGGCAGGAGTGCAGGCAGGAGTGCGGGCAGCGCAGGCAGGTGTCGCCGGCTGCAGGCCTGGCAGCGCAGACCCCGTGCTGGTGGGTCCGGCCCGGGGGCGGTGGGGCTGCCCCTGTGGCGGGGGACCCGACGTCCCCAGCACCGCGGAGGGCGCCTGGGGCACCCCGAGGGGGTCCCCCCCTGCAGCGCCAGGGCGAAGC